AAATATAAATCAGAGGTGGCTTGAGTAAATTCCATGGCTTAAGTATTAAAAGAATGATCTCAGAGAAAAGACATAATGAAAACCAAGCCACCTTCCTAGTGTGGTGCAAGCAGAGGGTCCCATGGCTTTTCTTTCTGAATGCAAATCAAGACAGCCAATCGATTTCTGTAAAAATTAGTTTTGGAGTCTTTTGTTCCTGAAGTAGAACTCCTCCAAGTGATCTGACTAGGAGAGAATCTTTGGTAGCTAATAAATGTGCCAGGTTATGTTATAGAATACAATTGTCACTTTTTTTTGTACCTGGATTTTCAGCATGACATTGATAAAATCTCCTTAAATTGCATTTTTCTTCCTGCTTGGAGTTAAGTGGCAACAATCCATTCTAATGGCTTTTCTCTAAGCTCCTCATTTGTATTTCTATCTGGTTGGTTTTGGGGAAGGCTTATGGACATAAATTAGAGAGAATATACAATGTGTTACTTGCTGGTCTATTTTTTAACTACCACCCAGACCTTATTCAGTGTTGCTTGACCTCGTACACTTGAATCTGAACCCCTTCCCTCTCTCAGAGCTCATTATCACTTCTTGACCTGTAATTGACTATGGAGAGGTTTTGATGAACTGTTAGGAGAGAAACAGCAGCAGAGGGAGAGAGGAAGAGAGGGAGAGAGAACTGGCAAGTGGCTGTGATCATGTTTATCTTTATGAAGGAAGGGTGTTTGAAATCTCTAATTTTCAGAGTTGCAGAAAGACAGCCAATTCCTTCCTGCTCAAAAGGTTCTGAGACTGTTCCTGATTAGGCTGTCTCAACTATCTCATTTTTGCTCATCACAGTCACATCTGTTTGAGTTTCTGTCTCTTTCCTGGAGAAGCCTCTGGAGAGCAGGTCCCCTCAGCTCCTCACAGCTCATCTGAGGCCTGCCAAAAACACTGGCAGAGAAACATCAGCATTCTACGCTCTGGTAACTCCCATAAATTTTGGAAAACAGTGCTACAAACCTGCTTCTCAAGTGAACTCACAAAGGGGGAACCAAGGGGCTTAAGCATTTTTCTTTGGGATTTAAGTGACACTTTATATTTTGGCGAGGTAGGAAGGAAAGAGAAAAGTGGCAAGTACTAGGAGAGAAGGCAGTTGGAGGGGTAGTGGTGTACACAAAATGAAGCTAAGACTCACAGACCTAAAAAGCCTTTTAAGGAGCTCATCCAGGCATTTTCTAGCATTCTGTTTTTAGTAGTTGAATTTTTATGTTTATTTTTAAAAGAAATCACACAATGAGTCGCAGTGCACAGAATAGATGAAAGTAGACCTGCTATGTTTAAAACATTGTCAAAGGAACTTATTTTATGGTCATGTACTTTTAGGGAGCTGTAGAATACAACTTGAAAGTGACTGATACTGAGTAAGACACTCCTCACAACGGGAAGAATGGCATATACACCCAAGTCACATGGTCAGTTAATCTCCTGACTAGTGGGGTGCAGAATAGAGTTCCTTAGGAATGGAAATGGAGAAAGGTGCTAAGAACACATTTTTCTGAACGTGGTCAAGGAGGGAGCTTGGTGGGTGCAATAGGGAATAGGAGCTCTGTTGGGGAACAAAGGAAAATAGACCCACACAGCCTAAAAGAGTTCAAAATTTGAATCTGGAGGGAATCCAAAAATCCCATAGCAGAACTGCTGTGGATAAAGCAAGCCAGGGGAAAGGGTGTTTTGGAAGGCAGGTGTCAAAAGAGAGTTCTTTTCTTCCTCCCACTCAAATGCCATTCTATTGGTCTGAGGTGGCAGTGGAGAGGAAAGAAAAGACAAACGGGCTTTTCTAGGACGGGCTGCAATTCTGTCTATCATTTTACCTTTTTGAGATGGATAGGACTTTGGTAAAATTCCTCTTTAAGAATTTGAAACTGGTATTAATGCTCTTCTTTGAACTACTAAGCACCTGGGAAGTAGAAATGGGTGTTAAGAGAGCATAAATAATGCCTGCTTTATAGTTAAGCTAATTGGATAATATGATTTATGTGGACCCATTTGTTATGTGTATATGCCCATGTGTATGTGTGTGTGTGTGTGTGTGTGTGTGTGTGTGTGTGTGTGTGTGTGTGTTTGTCTGTGTGTCTACCACATGTTGGGGAGGGTACCCACAGAGGCCAGAAGACTGTGTTAGATCTCCATGAGCAACCTGACATGCGTGCCTGTAACCAAACTTGAGTTCTATGCAGTAACAGCAAATGGTATTACCCACTCAACCAACTATCCATCCCCAAGGATATTTTTCTTTATGTTCTGGATTGAACCAACCATCCAATCACAGACATGTTAGTGGAAGAGAGAGGAGAATGAATGTGGTCTATAGGAAGATAGAATACAGAAACTTAGAGACACTCAGTCTCATCAACAACAATGAGGTAGGGGATATAAAGAAGTAGAAGTAACTTTTGGGAGCCAACAAGGAATATGTCTTATTTATTCTATACTCCTCTTGTCTAGGATTTAGTAAGATTAATGGGGGAAAGGTTGATCAATGTGTAACAGTCAGGTGGGAGAAAGAAGTTCTGGTGTGTTATTGTACAGTAGGATGATTATAGACAATAATGTACTGTATATTTCAAAAAGCTAGAAGAAACAATTTTGCATATTTTCACGATGATGTTTGATCAGATGTTTTAACTTGATTTAAACATTACACAATGTATACATGTATTAAAGCATTGTGAAACTCCAGTCATAGTTTTAATTTTTATATTTAACGCAATAGCTAAAAACAAACTTTATAGGCTGGCTGGTGGTGGCACACACCTTTAATCCCAGCACTTGGGAGGCAGAGGCAGGTGGATCTCTGAGTTTGAGGCTAGCCTGGTCTACAGAGTGAGTTCTAGGACAGCCGAGCTATGCCCTGTTTCAAAAAAAAATAAATTAATTAATTAAGTTTATAGAAGTAATTGAGAAGAAAATGATTAGAGCAGGGAAGGCATTTGCAAATACCCGTGGGCTCAAGCTGTCAGCTTTGGCCTGGTGGACTCATGTACTCATGTCATAGAATTCAATTCTCAGTCAAAAAAAAAAAAAGAAGTTGGTGGTAGATAGCGAGCGATTAGAAGGGGAGCAGATGAGATTTGCACATTTGTGCTTGCTACTTTGTAACAATAATTGTCCCTCCTGGTTCTATATGCTGAAGTCTACCATTGGTCTGTTCACTGCCAATATCCAGCACAGATAGGCCAATAAATCTACAGGCACTCTGAAGATATTTTGTGGATATTTGAGCAAGTGGTAATAGTTTTCCTGGAGAAATGAAAGAAAAGGAGTGTAGGAAAGCCTTTCTCATTTTCTTGTAACATCCCCCAATTCTGCCGGGCGGTGGTGGCGCACGCCTTTAATCCCAGCACTCGGGGGGCAGAGCCAAGTGAATTTCTGTGAGTTCAAGGCCAGCCTGGGCTACCAAGTGAGTTCCAGGAAAGACGCAAAGCTACACAGAGAAACCCTGTCTCGAAAAACAAAAAACAACAACAAAAAAAAAAATCCCCCAATTCTTACCGTTTTAACATTTCCTAATTCTATTACTTTCCTAAATAAAAACTTTGTCCTTGTTTAGCCTTTTTGTACCCTGGAACAGGATCCCAAAAGAGATATAAGTTAGAAAACAGAGGTCCTTGGATAAGGTACTCCAATGAGTCCATCCCAAAACCCAACTATCTGACCCTGGTCAAAGTTTCTTCTGATCAAGCTTTTGGTGAGATTACTTCCTTCCATAGTTCCTGAAATTTCGCCAGTAGCTCTTTTCTTCCTCTTGGAATCAATACCAACAATTCATTCATCAATTATTTTCAATGGATATTTACTGAGTGTAGACTATTGGATGAGTTTTGAGCCAGGGAATGGGATTATAGTGAACAAGAGGAGTACCAATTGTGGAGGCATTCCAGGCAAAATGGGAACAAAACAGGGGTCTTCCCTCCTGTGAATTAGTCTGATGTATCCTTTGTTTTTTTGGAGCGTTGGGGACAAGCTGATAATTGGTTTTGCAATTAAGTAAATTCTGAAGATATGAAGAGGAGGGAGTCCAGTAGCCAAAATGTGGAGCAGCCTTCCTATTAGGAGCTTTCTATTTAGCCTCAGAGATCAAATAAAATAGTAAAGTAACAGTGTCTGAAGGTACAGAGGTGGATGGACTCTTAGTCTCTTTCCTGCATTTACAAGGACTAAAGAAAGAACTCGTGAATACAAACCAAGCCAGCAAAAGGCCAAGCTAATTCCAGAACTGGGGGATAGATGAACCTTCTTGGTTTTGAGTGGCAGTTAAGAGAAGAAATCAGAAAACAGGAGATGAGATCGAGCTTAAATGAAGATCTGAATTTTGCTTTTTTCCAATACTGCCTGTGGTACATGCCCAGGCTCGCTGCGTGGCTCCCAAATGGCCAGATGAGGGGGCGACAAGGAAAAACTGGGTTTGGACAGCACACATTGGCACGGAATGAAAAGTCAGCAAAAAACCACTGGGTGGCAGCGTGGTGTGCGGGTGCAGCTCTGCAGTGCCTGCTGCTGCCACTGTGGTGGGGGCTGATCCCGTCTGTAAGCCCTGGCCTCCTCTCCTGAAGGGCTACAAGTGTCGCCTTGCAAAATACCTCTGCAGGTCTCTGGTGGGATGTGGGCGGTAACTGAGCCAGGTGCAGGAGTTTGGCCAACTTCCCGAGGCTCAGGCCGGGGCTAACTCTGAGACCTGCACTCAAGTTACACCCCCGCCCCTCTCCTCCCAGCTCCAAAGGCCAGCAAACCTCAGCTTCTGCAAGGCAACTATCTCATTCCAGTACTGCCTCCATCAACGTTTCTCCCAGAGCCCCTTTTATGGGAAAGAGGGCTTTGGATGATGGGGCAGTGTGTTCCCCTACAGGTGTTAGCAGGAACCGGGACTCTGCACCTGGGGGGGTGGGGCGGTTGGGGGCGTCAGCCGGGCGGGAGCCAGTAGCTGGGTTCCCGGAGGGAGGGGCCGCCGAGGCAGGGAGGGGGCCGCCGCCAGGCTGTCGCGCTCTTCTGGAGGGTGCCTGCAGCGACTGAATTCCTGTGCTGCGACTGTGCCGCGCCCAGAGCAGCAATCCACAGCGACGATGCCAGGCCATTACCTGTTTGATCCCTGCGGAAAAGCTGGCACGGGCCAACTTTTGCCGATCCTTAGGCCGAGAAGTTGCAAGGACTAGTGCAAGCGCCGGAGGGGCCAGGGCGAGGGCGCGCTCCCCTGTGCGCTGCCTCCTCCCTCCTCGCGCCGGCCGCCCGCGCCCGCGGCCTCTCTCCCGCCCGCGCGCTCTCCCTCCGCCCGCCTCCCTCCTCCAGCCCCCTCCACGCGGCACAGGGCGGGGGGTGCCGCGAAACTCCGACCCGAACGGCTCGGACTTGCACAGTGTCCTCGGGGCTCAGGGGCCGAGCGCACGCAGTCACAAGCGCAGCTCTCTGCTTCCTGCCAGTCTCGCCTGCGATCCCGGCCCGGGGCTGTGGCGTCGGTTCGGACCAAAGCAGCCAGAGCCCGCGCGGGAGCCGGACCACCGTCAGAGGAGCTCGGACGGCATGCTGAGCCCCCTCCTCGACTGAAGCCCGAGTGCCCAGAAGCCCGGGCCAAGCAAGTGCAGGCTAAGGAGACCCAGGAGGTGAAGGCGCGAGCCGGTGGCAGAGCAGCAGCGGAGGAGCAAGAGGAGGCGAAGGCAGAGAGGGGCCCCCAAAGAAGTGGTGGTGGTGGGCGTCGTGGCCATGGCGGCGGCTATCGCCAGCTCGCTCATCCGGCAAAAGAGACAAGCCCGCGAGCGCGAGAAATCCAATGCCTGCAAGTGTGTCAGCAGCCCCAGCAAAGGCAAGACCAGCTGCGACAAAAACAAGTTAAATGTCTTTTCCCGGGTCAAACTCTTTGGCTCCAAGAAGAGGCGCAGAAGGAGACCAGGTCGGAAGGGGCTTTCGCCTTTCTCTTTTCCCCTCTCTCACTTTATGACTATGGAGGGGGTTGGGGGTGGCATGGAAGCGTAGGTGAGTTTGGAGCCCAGCTTGTGCAGATGAGGCCCCCTAGCTGGTGTGCGTGCGTGGGAAGGAGATTGCTTTTTTGCCTCCGTAACAGTTAACAGGCTTGCTGCATTGCAACTGCCCTGGGACAGGCACAGAGCCCAGGAGCATAGCTTGCCCTGGAGGTGCGCCCTCAGCTTCAGACATGTCACATGCGTGTATGAGTGTGCCTGCCCGTGGGCTCAGGGAAGGGCTAACTCAGACAAGCTGTCGTGTGGTATGGAAATTGCAAGAGAAATTACAAGGGCTGACACCATTGCCCACCCTTCCTGGAAAACCCAGGGAATCCCTGTCTTGCTTTCATCTCTGCCTGCCAGACCCTTCCCCTCCACACATCACTCCCAGGGGATATGAGCTTTCCACTGTCTAGGCATTCCATTTCTTTTCGGGACAGACTTGACTTGTGGGGCAGCTTTGAAACGTGTGCTGGGGGATGGGGTGAGGGAAGAAATATTTCTAGAACCTTGCGTCAAAGATCTTAGTAATCTGGTCAGACTACTAAAACTGATTACTTGACAATAAATGCAAGAGGAAAGAAAGGACTTAAATCATTTTTAGGTTGTGGGTCCATTTGAACGATTTCAGTGCTAAGAGTGGCACGACATTCCCACGACAGGAGAAATTCAGAAAGCCTTAGGTGGTCAGGTTGCGTCAAGGTAGACCTTCAGGGGGAGCATGCTTAACCAAATGAATCGTTCGCACCATTTTCTTACCTTTTACTTGACAAGTATTACAGCAAACCAGACTTACTCATAGATCAGTTATTTCTCTGTGTGTTCTACACACCCTGGAATGGAAAGCAGGCATACATCTTTGGTTTGTACAAAGTTTGTAATACATTAGCTGTGAATTAGGCTTGTTTTAAAAAGACGTAAGCAGTTACAATGTGTGATTATGTGACTCCAATAAATATTATTTCAATGCAGGTGTCTGTATTCAATAAAAGCAAATTTTAGATATCATGGCTGTTATAAATAAATTAAGTGCTTGATTAATCTATGGTGATTCATAATTGAAGATCATTTTAATCAAGAACCTATGTTTTGGGTAATCATGTTTTTGATATCAAATTTGAAAATAAGTACGATTAAGTACGATTTAATTTTCCTTCCTCCTTATCAACAGAAAATGTTCTTTTCACGTCCATTTCCCATAAGAAAAAAACAATCTGACAGGGATGGCAATGGCCGTCCCCCCCCCCCCCTTCATTGTCTTGAACGGAAGCCTCAGTTTTCTAGATGCAGGTCCTTTGATGAAATTCTAGGTTAGACACATAACCTTCTTAGAGTGGTGGCGATTATTTATATAAATTGTGTTGATTCTTAAGGAAATCTTTGCTGGTGGGTTTTGGCACCTGGTTGGTAAGCAACTCTAAATTATTTTTGTATTTAATTTCTTCCACATGAAAAGTAACACATTATTAAGAAGATAGACTCTGCCATTTGCCAACCCATTCAGAATGTTTAATGAGGTGGAGTGCGACTAAGCCAAAGGACCAGCTCTAACAAATAGTGGGCTTTGTCAAAAGCTTCAGTGCATTACCAGTATTTGGAAATAGAAATCAAATGTTTCTTTGGATACTCTAAGGCTTATTCAGAAACTTCTCATTTCTTTGCTTCTTTTCTTTCTTCCAGAGGACTCTTTGAAAATGTAGTTTGATTTTTCTCCCCACTAAAAGTTGTAGATGAAATTAGAATTTTTGAATCTCGAGTCTCATCAATTGACCCAAACCATTGTTCTCTTTGCAGAGCCTCAGCTTAAGGGTATAGTTACCAAACTATACAGCCGGCAGGGCTACCACTTGCAACTGCAGGCAGATGGAACCATTGATGGTACCAAAGACGAGGACAGCACTTATAGTAAGTGACTTCATGTTATTGACTTTGGGTTCTTTCTATTTATTTTTAATTCAAACAAACCTTGCCAAATCCTTAGGTGAATGCAAAATATGGTCATGTGACATAACCCTGTTTACACGGGCTCACCTACAGGAAGTTGAACACGGAAACATCTAAAATATAAAGTAGAGCAAATAATGTTGACACCATCTGAAGGTTGATCCAAATGTCATCTCCATGGTAATCTAGATAGATTTATGGCTGTCCTTTGGATTTTATTACTTTTTCCCCCAGAAAAATTTCTCACCCACGCAACGATCCTGAAATAGCATGCTATCTCCACTCTTAAAAATGAGTCTCATCCCAAGAGGCAGGAGTGGTTTCACACCGTGATAATTCATTGTTACAAGCTTTTGCCCCTGCCCCACCCCTGCCCCATATACCAATAACTATGAGACTAATCGATATTTTACACTGAGTTACCTACATGGGTCTGCAAGGGGACTTCTGTAGACTAAACTGGGAACATTAATGGGGAAGCAAGAAGGAAATGTTTCAAAAGGGAGTTTTACTTCTAATTCTTAAAGCTTAGTGATATGAAGGTGTCTGTTACATAACCTTTGTCTACAAATATTTATTTGGAGTAATTAAAACAAAAACACCAATAGTGCCCCCTTTTTTCAATATTAATAATTGTTGTCTTCTTGCAATTTACAGATATCTGCAGACTTACTTGTTTGTTTCTGAGGACTAAAGTTTTTGGTTCTCATAATTCATTCTCTGTTTTCCAAAATTTGGATTCATTTCTCTCAGATTTGTTAGTTCCTAGAAATATTCCCATTGTTGGCTGAGAAAACAGCTGAGGAAAGTAGGTCTGGCTGCTAAGGAGTTCTCTGTAGTGCGTTCTTTTGGAACTGCATTACTGTAGACAGTAAAACCATAGATAAGTGTCCCAGTGTTAAGGATTAAAGAATTTCACACCTTTAAAGAATGTTTCCTGGACCGGGGGTTGAAATATTACCTCAAGAGAAAGTTACCTTCAATTACCCTTAAAGAAACATTTTTTTGCTTTCTAGGATGGATGTATATTGAATGGCTCTCCAGTGTTCTACCAAATGCTGTGTTGCAGTGATGATATTAAAGTTTTATAATGAATCCTAGTTAATCCTTCATGCATACTATTCTATTTAAAACAGCTACCCAAAATGAAGCAGAGCACTTTACTGCAATCAAGTAACACAATTAATACATAGTGGTCCATAATAAAATATTCCATCAAATTATGTATACAGATTGATGTTTGGGGACAGAATTAAGGAATGTGTGCTACTCTGTAGTCTCCAGAAAATGAGCATTGTTAAAGGGATGTTTGTGATGAGCTACCAATCAGGATTGTTCTTATATGCTTTAAATATCCAGGTTCAAATAGAGAAGTATTTGTTTCCAGTGTTTATTCATTTCCTCAAAAGGAACAGTGTTGGTTTAAATAGATGATTCAGTGTGCTGTGTCTTAGTGATATGCCAAACTCATAAAGATCGCACTGTACATATTCATTTTAGGAGATACACAACACACACACACACACACACACACACACAGAGCTCCATTTCTTACTATGGATCTTTATATTGTATATTAGGTTATACTCCTTCATTCCTACAAATGCGTAGTTTCTCCCTTTGGTTGCCTTATAACTGAGCCATTTCTGTATGCTAATGACATTCAGAGACCTTTAAAGAACATAGCCAGATAACAAGAATCCATGTCTAGTCTGATTAAAACATATAGCAGTAAGTCAATCAAAGGTAAGTATTATCATGCCATACAGCACGCAAATGGAAAGTATCGCAGAAGAAAAATCAAGCTTGACTGCCCTGGGTTGAAAAGCAACCAGAAGCCTAGGGAGCTAACTTCATTTCCCCATTGATATTGTGCCATATAAGGTATCATAAAACACCGATGCCTATTGATGAAACTGATGTATCAAATTGCAAGTATGGCCATTCAAATTTATACCCCCCCAAAGCAAAGCAATTTTTTGATATTAAGTTTACGTAATTATTTAAATGAAAGGAACAACAATATAAGTTTTACTTTTTTCTACTGTGACTCATTGTAATATTTCCTCAACATGCATTCCCAGTATTGTGTTTATATTTTTCTTTTCATCATGTTTTTTCAATTTAGTACAATTTAATTGATTTTATGTTATTTTGACTTTGATATGGTAAATAAGATCACATGATAAAGCAAATAATTTCATGCTTTATGTATGTCCATTTCAAAAACCATGTTTGATACCATGCATTTAAGGTTACCTTATATAAATTTATTATAATGGTAAATGCCAATCCAATGAAATTTCATCATTGGTAAGTAAGACATAAATTATGTATTTTTCTCTGAAAAGGCAAAGATGATAGATATTTATTTCATGGAAGCAGTTTAATTATCAGCCTTGGGTACAAAGAATGGATTTTAAAGAGATAGATTCCCCTTTTTCTTCAAACCTGCAATAGTTTTGCCAGTTCACTGTATCATGATTCTCCAGTACATTAAAAGAATACCTTTGTTAATTATTAGTCTCTTAGAGAAATTGGCCTTAGTTTAAGCACTGTGGAAGTAGGGCTTTAGTGTAGAGTTCATCTTTGAATACCAAGGAGGGAGCATAGCCCTAAAAAAGTGATCCTTTTATGTTAGAAGTGTTTGTTTTTATATAGGCACAATAACAATCAAATATGAAACAACATGGAGGTTATTCATTAAAAATCTCTTAAGATCCACAAAATTAATGAATAAATGAATGAAGAAATAAATAAATAGATAGATAGATAAATAAATAAATGGTCAGGCATGGTGGCGCACACATTAATCCCAGCACTCAGGAGGCAGATGCAGATGAATCTCTGTGAGTTCAAGGCCAGCCTGGTCTACAGAGTGAGGTCCTGGACAGCCAGGGCTCCACAGAGGAAACCCTGGCTCAAAAAACCAAACCAAACAAAAACAAACACACAAACAAATCTCTTAAAATATAGATGAAAGAGAAGAAAAGATTTTAGGTATTTAATTGAATGTGTTTTAGAAACACATTTATTGAGAAATTTTTCATCCTGATCAAAATAATATCTTTTTTCTTTTGTTACTGTTGTATAGTTCTATTAACTGTGAGTACAGTTTTCTGGCAAAAAGTAGCAAGCCATAACAGATGCAATGCACATGACCTAATGATATATTATAGAGGAAGTTGTTGGTTACTATTGAGATTATTCATAACAAAATTCTAGTATGTTTCTGGACTTCTGAAATCCATCTGACCTGAAACTGGCATTACCCTACATTACATTTATCATTGTTTATATTCTGAAGAAACTGATACTGGTTAGCCTCTGATTAAAATAAGCCTGAAATTAAATTTTTCTTGCTACATCTTAAGTCCATAAAGAAGTACTCCAAGTTTAGAGAAGACAAGGCAAAGCTGTGAGTGGTAGGGCGTGCCTCCAACCCGAATACTAAGGAGGCTGGGGCAGGAAAATTGCTGACAGGTCCTGATCAGTCTGAGCTGCATAGCAAGAGTCAGACCTGCCAGAGAAAGTAAGATTCTGTCTCAAAAAACAGGAAAATGAGAAAGAGAGCAAGACCACAGTGACTCTGCCTAAGCATATTTCTAGTACAACTTTTTGCATTTTTATCTGGGAAGATTGCCTTTTTGGAAAAATTCAAAGACAACTCTGTTTGTACTTCATCTTGAATATCTAAAGAAAAGATTGGACTGGTATGTGGTATGTATGATCAACTACTACACATTTTTCTACTCTCTTCAGTTTTGGCATACGTGTGTGTGTGTGTGTGTGTGTGTGTGTGTGTGTGTGTGTGTGTGTGTGTGTCTATTTGTGTCTGTGTATCTAGCTTCATAAATACTTAGATTACATAATGAATGGCCTCCTACAAACTCAATGCCACTATTCAGGAATAGGTAATATGAATTAATGTTCTTTGCTTTTCTTTCTCCTTTAATTCTCTACTGTTTGAAATTTAAGCATTTCATTTCTCATTAAAACAGAAATCTGAGATAAGTGAAAATCAACACAAAAATCAAATTGTTATCATTATCTTCACTCTCTACCTCCCTCTATGCTCATCTCTGACATTAAAAGCTACATTCATACAACTAATAAGGTTCAAAATATTGTTTTATAAAATAAGATTCTAGAAATAATTTTCACTTTCATTTAACATCTTTCTCTGTTATCTGTTACTTTAACCCAATTAGGTTTCAGGCACGTGGTGATATTGACTTTAAACAAACCCACATAGAGCTTTTTGTTTAGTTTATTGTAGTTCTCAGATTTTTGAACTATGAGGATTTATATAATATGATTGTCATGTATTATATCGCCCAAATACATGATCATGTTCCCATGATACAGTTTGGTATCAGTCTACAAATGTGCTTTAAGTACCTGCTGTAAGCAGAGTATCATCAACAGAAAGAAACATGACGTATACATGATGTACTCAAAGATATTGGGTTTATTTCCTGTACATTACATTGTCAATTATAGCACATGATCCTGGCCTGCAATTAGTTTTCTTTACTTCACGTAACAGAAGGGCACAGCTTTTTATATGGTGAGTATTCAATGAAGTGCCATCAGTGGCATGTGGTAGGAACACTTGTATTTTGAACTGTACAATATGTCCTAGCTCCTCTTTGATAGCACTCAAATTTTAAGGGAAAGATGTATTGTAGGTTTCACAAGGAATATTTTGTTCCTTATTAATATTTTTGCCCATATTATCCTATCTAGTGCAACAGAGTGCTCAAAGTTAAGTGATTCTAGAAAAAAATTCTTATACATGGGAGTGATACCTTTAAATTCTTATTCATGAAAGTAACAGACCAGTTTATCATCCCCAACAAACTTATGAAACAGAGCAAAAATCATCAACATTGGTCTGTGACTTTCAGGAGAAAGGTGCACAGGCTATTTTCAAAAGATGTGTGTGGCAAACACTACGTTTTAAAAATGTACTGTTTTATTTTTGTTCGTGGTGTGGGAGGGCGGAGACAGCTGGCAGTGGGAGAACACCCACTGGTTGTCTCCAGTGAGTGGTGTATGCTTGTGAGAGCGCTGGGGTGTAAGTTTCATGCAGTAAGACCTTCAGATGGAAAGATGAAGACCTCATTAGTCCACTTGCAACGATTTTGCAGAAAACATTAAAATAACAAGTAGCACGTTTCTTCCATACCTTATTTTTATTCTTATATCTATTATCTTTGAGAGTAAATGCCAAGAGCCTGCTCAACTCTATCATCTTGCAAAATGCCAGTTCTTTATGAAATACTACTCTTGGAATATAGGAATACAAATAACTTATTTTTTTGCAAGGCCCAGATTTATTTAGAGGTTTTTGCATTGGATATAATACAGATAATTTAAATGAAAATCTTGGAGTAGTGTGTCTCAGGAGAGTGTAGGAATTTCTCCTTAACTAGTAGTTCTATCTAACAGTGCTTATGAAATTTTCACAAACTGTCTAGAGGAGCAGGTTAAGAAGTTAATTTGAGAAGGATGATATTTTGGTATGCAGAGTGATTCCTGATACTTTGCCGCCCCCCAAATGTAAATATTCCCCACCTCCACTGCTCTAAAAATCAGGATGTTTCAACCAAAGTTTTCCATTTTCCCAGGAGTCTTTGAGAATATGTTGTTATAGATCCTGTTAAGCAAATACAATCAGTGCTCAAATACACTAGAAAGTAGAATAAGGCTGTATTTGTATATTTCTAGACTCACTTAGTCTACACTGCTTTTAGGAAGCCAGGCAATGTTGAATACATTGGAAAGCTATGAAATTGGAATTGTGACGTTTTCGCATTCTTTGAAATTTCAGCTCTGTTCAACCTCATCCCTGTTGGTCTTCGGGTGGTGGCTATTCAAGGAGTTCAAACCAAGCTGTATTTGGCAATGAACAGCGAGGGATACTTGTACACCTCGGTGAGTCTTTGTGTGCATGTTTTCATGCATCTAGTTTTCATCTGACATGAAAGAAAATGTTTGGATGGAAATATATCAGTTGGAAGGGCAAATTATTTTCTGGTGAAAATGATAGCTTTTTCTAATTAATTGTTGAAAACCAGCATGGTCAACATAAAATCAATAATATACCTAAAAGTTTTACATACAATGCTATTGGAATAGTATGTACCATTAAGTAGGGAGTCAGGCTTTGCAGCTGTGGGGAAACAAAGCTGTTAGTAACTACATAACCATATCTGTCCCCATTTCTTCCTGAAGAAATTAATGAGATCTCTCTTTTAGATCAATTCCAGGACACAAAAACTGGTTTGAAAAGTGCTCCTCAGTAGTCATTATTAATCTGTTCATTAGTACAATTTCCATCTGTTTCAACTTTTAATTTTTTATTAAAAATTTATGGGTAAAGTGTGATAATTCAATATTTGCATACAGTATATGATGATCAAATCAGGGAAATAAACATTTCCATCTTTTTAAACACTTTTGAAAATTTTTGATTAACAGTCATATTTCTGGTGTAGAGTGTGCTATTTTAGTACATTTATAAAATATTTCCCAATCAGGATAATTACATTTCATGTCTTTATCATAATTTTGTGTGTGGAGATATGGAGGTCCTCTCTACTCATTCATATTATATTATTATATGAATATGAATATATTATATCATATTGTATTATACTACTAATGCAATTGTTTTGTCAAGCACAACTTAACCTCTTCCTACACACAAATTCTCTCTGGTGTTTATGCTAACAAAAATGAGGACAATCAGATCTATAACTTTGTTCAGGTATATTGATACATAATATAGGCTACAGTTTAGTGAATAACTTGGGACCAAATGTACTTTGTTAGGCAAATATTTTACTTTTAAATATAATTTTAAAATGGCATAGTACTACAATTAGGATTTTATTCCTATCAATAGATCTACTTTCAGGTTATAAACAATCATTAACATTTTTAATATTTATTTTGAATTCCTGCATTTTAAGACAGGGACAGGATGTTTAAAATGGAGAAATTGGGCTGGTGAAATCGCTTTGTGGTAAAAGGTACTTAATATCAACAATGATTGTCTTAATTTAGTACTCCAACCCCTCACACAGTCATTCAGTCAATCAATGTAGAAAATCTTTAGGCTTTCAAAAGTGGAAAAAAATACTGCTTATCCAACTGCCTACCAGCCTTAAGAAGGAGGTGATTACCAACTATCAAAATCCATTCTTCAAACTGCAAATTAAACAATTAATCTGTATTCACTTTTGTGCTGTCTTGTTAGCTGAATTTCATTCAAATTCAAATGTGTAAAAAGACTTGACAAACATTGTAAAAATCACGCAGTCACCTTGGTTTTAAGTGGCCAAGATGGGAAAGAGATGTGAGAGAAGAACAAGCCCACAAAGGCTCATTTATCAGTAGGCACCTCAAACTCTGGGCAATTGTCAGCATTTTGTCCATCTTATTTCTTATGACATACAGGGGTTTTACTCTATTTGATAAACTAAAACTTTGAATTCATTGGAAGCTTCACAAAATTCATTACTCTATCAATACAGTGCTAGTATTATAGGAAAAGTAATGGAATTCTCTTTAGGTTTGTGTAGTACTATAGCATAATTTCATTTCAAGTGACTTCTTTTAGATCAACAGGGCCAAATGCAAAAGTAGGCTTTTAATATGTGAAATGACTCATCCTCGATATAATATACAGACATGGAAAGGAAATAGAATAATGAACATACTTGAGAAGACAATATTGCTTTAGTTAGTGTTTCTATTGCTGTGATAAGATACTGTGACCCAGAGGCAACTTATAAAAGGAAGAGTTTAGTTAGGCTTATGGTTCCAGAGGCTTAGAGTCTATGATGGTGGGGTGAAGGCATGGTGACAGGTACCCAGAGTAGCAGCTGTGAGCTTACATTTTACTCTAAAAGCAGGAAGCAGAGACACATTGGGAATGACATGAGACTTTTCAAATCTCAAAGCTTACCCCTAGTGACACATCCTCCAACAAGGCCACACCTCCTAATCCTTCCCAAATAGTCCCACTCCTGGGAGACCAAGTATTCAAACATAAGCTTATAGAGGCCATTTGTAGTCAAATTACCACATTCCATTCCCTAGTGCCCATAGGCTCATAGCCATATCACAATGTGAAATGTGTTTTGTCCAATATCAAAATTCCCTATAGTTTTTCAGTCTAAACAGTGTTTAAAAGTCCATAGTTTCTTCTGAGACTCAAGGCAATGTCTTAATTGTAACCCCATATAAGATTAAAAAAATGCATAATTCTAACATACAATGTCATAGAATATACATCCTAAAAGGGAAGAATCAGGCATAGTGAGAAAATATTGAACCAATCCCAGACCAAAACCTAGCAGGGAAAGCTCCAAATGCTGTAGCTCCACATCTATTGTTGAAGGGTTATATGGCTCTGTTCTTTCAACTTTGCTGCCTTCAAGATAAATCTTACTCTCAGGATAATTCAAATCCCCATGTACAGCTCTTCTTGCAGATATCCCATATCTTTAGCATGTTCAGCATAATGGGATCTCCAGCACAACCAGGTTTCACTTCCCACAGTTGCTTCATTCAGGAACTGCCCTATCATACATTGTCTGGCCCCAATGACTCTCCTTAACCATGGAGAAAGATTTCACAACCCTTTTATTTGTGTATCTTCTATGATTCTCGAACCAGAATCAAATGGAGGGTGCTGCTAAGTTTGGCTGCCTGCTTAGGATGCAGCCTGGCCCCACTGAATTACATTTGCTGCAGCTTTCCTTTGTTTCTGTATTTGAGGAGCAGAAAATTACTGAGGCTTTTCCTCACAAGTTGGAAGCCTAGATGAATGGGGTCTTGCCCTGAGGGCAACCCTCCTTTCTTCTTTTGTGGATCAGGCCTCTCCTCAATCTCCTTAGCTCTTTCAGTACAAGCCTTGGCTCCAACATTACATTTTCCAGTGCTGTTTTTTTCTTTTCAAACTGTATTTTGTGTTTATTTTTGCCCCACTTGTTTCTTGAAATCTCTTCTACCAAAGAAATTGGTTTATTTTAAATTTAGCCTCAGAAAATTCTTGGGACAAGGGAAAAAAAGCAACTACACCCTTTGCCACAACAGCCCAAAATGATTTCTAACCTGGTTGTAAATATTGTTCCCCTCTGAAATCTCTGGAGCCAGGTGTCCATTGTCTGTATAACTGTCAGCATTACTGTCTTCCAATTCATCTCTGCTTACAGCATACAATCACATTCCTTCAAGAATCACTATGGTCAGTTCTGTCATGACAGCAGTACCACTCCAGCACTAACTTCTATCTTAGTTCCTTTTTTATGACCAAGGCAACTTATGAAAGAAAGCATTGAATTGGGCTTAGGGTTCTTGATGGTTAGAGTCCATAAAGGCAGAAGGAAGGCATTGCAGCTGGAGCAGCAGCTGAGAGCTCACATCACAATCCGCAAATAAGATGCAGAGAGCCACACTGGGAATAAAGTGAGTCTTTTGAAACCTCAAAGGCACCCCCAGTGACACACCTCCTCCCAAAAGTCCCCATCTCCTAATCCTTCCCAAACAGTTCCACCAACTAGGACCAATATTCATATATATATATATATATATATGCCAGTGACAGCTTTTCTCATTCAAAACCCTACATATATGTATTTCCTGTTAAGGGAAAGTAACCTTAAATAAGCAATTGCAAACTACGGAAAGTAATTACATTCTCATTAACGTGGAAATATTTCTGATTTATGCCAGAACTAAATGTAGGGGTGAAATATCTAAATTATTCTGTTCTAGGAATGAAAACTGACTCCTCTCTGAATAAATGTTCCAATTCTTTCCATTACTATTATCAGTTATGACTTCAGATCCCTTCAACAGATTGATCATCATCCCCTCTGGCATACTATTTTATTTTCATCTCATTTAAAATGTGATCTCTAGACCCAAATCGAACATAATTCCATCCTAATGAGATCATAGTCAACTTACTTGGTAAATAACTTAGGCTCTGTAGGTAGGCCATAAAATTTCTATCATAACCATTCACCTTTGCTGTTGTAGCACAAAAGCAATCATAGGCAATAAAATAAATGAATGAATATCACTATGTTCCAGTAAGAATTTATTCACTAAAACAGAGAGTGGGATGGATTTGACTTATGACTGCAGTTTTCCTATGTGTGGCCATGTTTTCCTTTCTCCTTTCCCCCAAATAGCTGTTCTTTACCTCCTTCATCCCTATGTTTTGGATTTTCACAGATGACCCTTCATTGTATGTTAATGGGAAAATAGAGGTCATCTGGCAGAAAATCCAGTTTACTTATCTATCATATGCAAACATGGTACACTAGCATCTCCCCCTGTCATCCTGTTATCCTTGCTTATTTGTATGGTGTTCCTTCTTCTCTATGTCATTCTACCCTTTATCTTATATTTTAATCACCCTCTCTTCTACCTTGGGGCTTCACTTCATATATCTTTACGCCTTTACTACTAGCTCCTATTGTTTAGTTAATGTTCACCGAAAAAAAAAGGAAAAGGAAAGAAACCAAACCAAACAAACAAATGAACAACCCCTGCTCCTTGAAAGCCTTCCTCAACCTCTCCTTCCCCTAGATAGTCACTGGTGTCTCCAGATTATTCAGAAATTTCGACCTTCTATTGCTTCTGATTTTGTTTCCCTATCCCTCTTCTATCTACTGTAGTGTGGCTTTAACTCCATTGAAAGTCTTTTTAGCAAGATCACCAAAGACTATTGTAGGCAGAGTTTTCCCATCCCAAATTACCACTTAGAGGCTTATATTAATTGTAAATGCTTGACCAATAGCTCAGACTTGTTACTAGCTAGCTCTTACAACTTAACCCATTTCTATTAATCTATGTGTTGTCTCAAAGCTCGTGGCTTTTACCTCTATCCCATTTAGTATGTCCCATTCCTTCTC